GCAAGGAAGCAAGGAAGCAAGGAAGCAAGGAAGCAAGGAAGCAAGGAAGCAAGGAAGCAAGGAAATTTGTGACTGGGCCACCCCGCATTGTAAAGCACTAAAAACGCCACCGAAAACGCCATGAGAACACTTGACCCTTAAAGGGAACTCATTCCTAAATTATTCACCGTAAACAGGTGTATTTCAAAGCTGAGGCACCGGGGTGGCAACTGAGCAGCAGCAACTGGGGTCCTGCCTGAAAAGTACTGAGACTTACTAGCGATTTCAGCTGGGGCAGTGATAACAGCAGTAGCACTAATGAAAGGAGGTTTAAGCCTCTCCTCTGCTCTGTTTTTACAATAAGGGGTGCACCGCTGGATCAGACCAGTGATCCTTCTAGTCCTGCATCCTGTTTTACACAGCAGGCAACCAGGGGATGGCCACCAGACAGGACGCAGAGGCCATCCCCTGGTGCTGCCTTCTCACCTTGTGACGGAGAAGTTGACAGCTTCTGAATGTAGAACACCTAGATGTGAGTCCAGTAACACCTTGGAGACCAATCAGATTCTTGGTGTACAAGCTTTTGAGTGGGGGGGGGGGGTTCCCACAGAACAAGGATTCCTGTCTCTCCACAGATGCTAATTTTCTGCCCCTTAGCATTTCTCCTCTGCTTTAATCAAGCTAGTTACAATGTGCACTGTACCCCTGCATCCCGAGTCTCTAAGGTGTTACTGGACTCAGCACTGCAGATCAATAGTTACCCTCTGAAACAATCTGACCATGGAGAGTCCTTTTAGCCACCATTTCACTTTCTTAATCTAAATGCCACATCCTGAAGCTACTAATAGTCTGTGGTGGGCTACAGGTCCCTGTACTTTTTCCTTGGGTGGAATTAACAGCAACGTCTAGGGAGCAATACATATCAGGAAACTGGTGCAGCATCTGTCAAAAACGGGAGTTTCCAACCCACCACATCCTTGCAAAGAAAATTGGATTCCCCCGTCCCCAGACCTGGGACTGTGGAACAAATCCCCTTCTGACAGTTTGACCGAGACTGGGTTTGGACTCTCACGCACGCAGTAGAACACACCAATAGAAGCAACAGGCTTTACTAAAAAGATTTTTAAAAGGGGTTCAGGCTTAAGCATAAAGCAAGAACAAGCAGGTACAGTCAAGTAAGAATATCTATCTCCCTACATGCAGGCGCACACTTGAATGCGGGCAGGTTACAACATCTTCAAAGCAGCATAAGTAACAAAGCAGCAGGTTGGAGATGCAGAGAGAGATTCCCTGGCACTGGAGGTATTAGTCAGCTGTGCTTGGAAAACTTGTACCCAAAGGTTGTAAACTAACTTTATAGGAAATCTGGACCACTGACCCCCCCCTGACCAGTATAAACCAGCATGATCCAAAGGATGATTTTCAAAGAGCAGGACTCTCCCCCCCCATTCTGAGTGTAGTTAAATCAGAATGCTTTGATATTCAAAGGTGCAATCTCAAGATTTTCATCTTGGCTTGAGAAGCATCTTTGGGGGAGTGATGTGTTCCAGGAAATTGTTTTTAAAACAATTGCTCTTTTGGGTACTCTGATAACCTGTTAGTCTTGTCAATAAAGCACCACATCAGATTTTATTAAACCATTCACTTAAAGAAGGGGGGGTCTCATTTTGGGAGGGGGTGTGGTCGTCATATGTATCCTATTCTAAATCAGTAAACATTCAACAACAAAATTTTAAATTGATAACTAGATGGTACCTCACACCTTTAAAACTTCATAAAATAAATAAGAAGATATCGCCTCCATGTTGGCAAGAATGTGGTAGCATAGGTACTTATTATCATTGTTGGTGGGGATGTAGTAAAGTTAACTTTTTTTGGAAAAAGGTTTTGGACCATATAGAAAAATTAACAGGTTATGTAATACCGGAAAAGCCTGAGATTTTGTTATTGAATTATTGGAAGGATGTATCCATTCCATGTTACACAAAAGAATTAATTTCTATTCTTCTATCGGCAGCCAAATCCACTATTGCACAGAGTTGGAAAAATAACAACTTATTATTGGAGCCAAAAATCCTAAATATAAATACACATTGATGGGGTCGAACTGGCAGAGACTGATCAAGAGAGAGATCTTGGAGTTGTAGTAGACAACTCACTGAAAATGTCGAGACAGTGTGTGACTGCAATAAAGAAGGCCAATGCTATGCTGGGGATTATTAGGAAGGGTATTGAAAACAGATCAGCCAATATCATAATGCCCCTATATAAATCAATGGTGAGACCTCATTTGGAATACTGTGTGCAGTTCTGGGCACCACACCTTAAAAAGGATATTATAGCTTTGGAAAAAGTGCAGAAAAGGGCAACTCAAAAGATAAAAGGGTTGGAACACTTTCCCTATGAGGAAAGGTTAAAGCGCTTAGGGCTCTTTAGCTTGGAGAAAAGACGACTGAGGGGTGACATGATCGAGGTTTATAAGATTATGCATGGGAAAGAGCAGGTAAAGAAAGAGGTACTTTTCTCCCTTTCTCACAATACAAGAACTCGTGGGCACTCCATGAAACTGCAGAGCGGTCAGGTTAGAACGGATAAAAGGAAGTACTTCTTCACCCAAAGAGTGATTAACACATGGAATTCACTGCCACAGGAAGTGGTGGGTGCTACAAGCATGGACGGCTTCAAAAGGGAATTAGATAAGCATATGGAGCAGAGGTCCATCAGTGGCTATTAGCCACAAGGTATAGCTAGGGGCTCTGGGGCAAGTGATGCTCTGTCTTCTTGGTGCTTGGGGGGGGGGTCAACAGTGGGAGGGCTTCTAATGTCCTGGCCCCACTGCTGGACCTCCTGATGGCACTGGTATTTCTGGCCACTGTGTGACACAGAGTGTTGGACTGGATGGGCCTTTGGCCTGATCCAACATTGGCGTCTCTTATGTTCTTATGTACAGAACCCATGCTGAGTCTGCCTCAATAGGTTTTGTTCATCTATGTGCCTACTAATTCTTTCCTTAATAATGGTTTCCACCAATTTACCCGGTATCGACGTCAGACTGACTGGCCTGTAATTTCCCGGATCTCCTCTGGAACCCTTTTTAAAGATGGGAGTGACATTAGCTACCTTCCAATCCTCAGGAATGGAGGCAGATTTTAAGGAAAGATTACATATCTTTGTCAGGAGATCTACAAGTTCACATTTGAGTTCTTTCAGAACTCTCGGATGTATGCCATCTGGGCCTGGTGATTTATCAGTTTTTAAGTTGTCTATCAGTTTTAGGACCTCCTCTCTCGTCACCTCAATCTGACTCAGGTCTCTCAACACCCCTCCTGAAATCAGTGGTTCTGGAGTGGGCAAGCACTTCTCATCTTCCACAGTGAAGACGGAGGCAAAAAATGCATTTAGCTTCTCAGCCATTTCCCTATCATCCTTCAATACTCCTTTTACCCCTTGGTCGTCCAAGGGCCCCACTGCCTCCCTGGCTGGTTTCCTGTTTCTAATGTATTTGAAGAAAGTTTTATTGTTGGTTTTTACGTTTTTTGCTATATGCTCCTCATATTCCCTTTTTGCCTGCCTGACCTCAGACTTGCATTTTATTTGCCATAACCTGTGTTCCGTTTTATCAGCCTCACTGTGACTAGCTTTCCACTGCTTAAAGGAATTCTTTTTACTTTTTACAGCCTCCATTACTCTGTTTGTTAACCATGCAGGCTTTTTCCTATACCTGTTTGTGCCTTTCCTAACCTGCGGAATATATATTTTTTGAGCTTCTAGGATCGTAGTTTTAAATAGATCCCAAGCTTCCCCAATTGTTTTGACCCTTTCTACTTTTCCTTTCAGTTTCCTCCCCACGTGTCCCCTCATATCAGAGAAATTACCCCTTTTAAAGTTAAAAATGGTTGTGTGAGTCTTTTTGGCCAATTCTCTATTTGTACAAATGATGAACTCAACAACATTATGATCACTGTTTCCAAGCGGTGCAATCACTTTTACATCTCTCACCAGGTCTTGAGTGTTACTTAGGACCAAATCAAGGATCGCCTCTCCCCTGGTAGGTTCCGTGACCATCTGCTCCATAGCACAGTCATTTAGAGCCAGTCAGTCCCACATAGGGAACCATTGCTGCCAATCTCCAGGTGAGGGCTACAGATCACTCACAATTACAACTGCTCTTCAGGTAGCAGAGATCAGTTCCTCTGGAGAAAACAGTGGACTCTGTCATTATACCCTGCTGAGGTCACCACAGCAAATTGACACTGTTTGCCCAAAGCCAGAGCACTGCCCCAGAGCCCCTTTCTAGATCTCGTTGTATTGCTTTCACAACGGGCTTTACTGCTAGTCACTTAATAATGGATAAGGTTTCTGAAAGACTTGCCAGTGCTGAAGATATGTTGAGATCCCAGGCTTTTTTGGCAGATGGCATCCAATATTAGAAAAATTAGAAAATATTCTTGAGCAGATCAAATTCAGTCAGAAATCTCAATATTATTCTTTTATTCAGAAAGAGTGGATATTATAATAATAAATAATGTTATTTAGCTTGTTTTCAAATTGAAATTGATTGTAATACAAAATTGCTTGCATAATTTTCAATTTTAAAAATATCACTGTTAAATGTATTGTTATTGTTAAAGTTGCAATGTTAATGTTCTGGTTTATTTTACTTGTTAATTTGTTGCAAAAAAATAAAATTTATTTT